AGCAGTTTACTTGAAAACCTTGAGTGGTCCCAGTACCTATAAAAGTAAATGCAAAAGTCCTAAAGCGGCATTCTCAACCTCCCACACCTGGCCCCAATCTCTTTCCAATCTCATCTCCTGCCATTTGCCCATGTTCCAACAAGAGCTGCGTTCCCAGAACACGTACCTCCTCTTTGTGTTTCTCTGACTACATGGTCTCCCATACCCGAAATGTCCTCTTAAAACATCTCCACCTGTTCAAACTCCATTATAAAACTGATTCAAAGCACTTACTGGGGAAACTTTCCAGATTCCCTGCAGTTGAACATAAACTCTCCTCTGAAGCTGCCGCCACTTTCTCGCTCATTCTCTCTCTGTCTCTCTTTCAAAGTACTTATCCTCTGCCATATCTTGTAGCTACTTTTGGACATTTCTTCTTTCCCCTACTGGACTGTCTTTACTTCCCCCAAATCTCACACCATGAATGACTCACAGCAGGCACTGGGGGAAAAAAATGCGCCAAATTAATGCATGACAAGTATACTCTGTTAAGAACAGAACTTATGCAAAAGTCACAAATCCTAAGGCACAACCCCAATTTGAAAATCCTTGAAAAGTTCACAGCACCCTTTGCCACCTGGGAAATAAAATTTTCTCATTTACAAAGGAAGAAAGACCTTGATAATGTTTTGGCCCAGGAACTTTTTATTTTTTTTAAGTCTTTTTTTTTTTTTTTTTTTGAGACGGAATCTCGCTCTTGTCACCCAGGCTGGCATGCAGTGGCGCAATCTCAGCTCACTGCAACCTCCGCCTCCTGGATTCAAGCAATTGTCCTGCCTCAGGAGGCGCCTGCCACCATGCCTGGCTAATTTTTGTACTTTTTTTTTAGTAGAGACAGGGTTTTGCCGTGTTGGCCAGGCTGGTCTCGAACTCCTGACCTCAGGTGATTCACCTGCCTTGGCCTCCCAAAGTGCTAGGATTGCAGGCGTGAGCCACCGTGCTCAGCCCACATCTTTATTATGTGTAAAGGAAGCTAAAACATATTAATTAAGTCTCCTATAAAGTATACGCAGATTTATAAAAACAGCAAGGAGGCTAGGAAAAATTGTGATCTCCGAAGCAGATTAACTAGGGGCCTTTTTCTAACTCCAAAATTCATCTAGAGCAATCTTGCTTTAATTACACGTTGAAGTTTCCTCTTTGCTTTACTGACTTTCCTGGAGTCAACAATTTTCACATTCCTAGGGAGGAAAAACAAATAACTGAGGAAAAGAAAATGACTTCCTTCTCTTGTCATTTTTCCCCCTGTCAGAGTCACTTTCAGTGACACACATAGGCCTCTTCCTTTCCTCCCCCAGTTTAACCCTCCTTTTTTGCCCCTCATCCATTACTGTAATGTTTGCCTTTCTCAGACTACTCTTTTAAACTTTTCCTGTCCTTACTCCCTCTCTCGTTTTCATCTTGTCCTGAAACACTAAGAGGGACTAGATCCATCCCTCCCCACTCTACAGTCAAATGTTAGGATCCTCTGGAGGGTGCACTTAGGTCAGTTGTTAGGGAAACCTGTGGCTAACATAGATCCAAACATCCATATGAAGTTTTTCTGCACAAGCACCCTTGTCAGCAAAAATATTCTTCCTCAGAGCAGAGCCTGGACTCTGCAGTGAAGTCCGACTGAGCAGGAACAAAGAGCCAGGAGTGGGAGTAGAAGTGTACAAGGATGAAATGGAAGAGACAAGGCGAGGTAATGGGGAAATTTAGGTTCTCAGAACTGTTAACTAATTCAAACTGACATCCCCCATCTCTAACCCCCCAACCCTGCCACACAACCCTGCTTCCAACCCTAAATCCATGCACACAGTGGAGAATCTGAAACTCGATGTCCATTCCTCCCTTCTGAATAGAAAGCCTGAGCACTTAATTAATGTTGGCTGTGCATTCATAGAACCATCTAGCCACAGAAAGGGAAGAGAAGGAAAACCGAAAGACCTCTGCTTAGCTCTATAAAGCTCTGAGAGCGAGGCCACTTTTGTCTGCTGTAACTATTATAACTGGCTCGCCAACGCTACTGGAAAATTCCTGCAAAATTTATTAACAAGGTGAAAGCGGCACTATCTACTTCCCAGCAGACAAATCATGTACTTATCTCCCCAGTTTCAAAAAGGGAAGAAAACAGGCAGTTGCAGCATGAAATGGAGATCCTTTTATCCAAGACCAAGACCCAGAGCCAGTATTTTCACAAATAAATTGCATAAAAGTTTCCTAATTAGGATGTAATCAAATGATTGTTGAGCTACTGTAACATTGTTTCAAAGCTTGTAGTCTAATTATTCTTCTTTCTAAAACTGAATAGTAGCCATCTTTCCATGAGCTGTCTGGATGGATTAATGCACACTAATGAGGCTTAATGACAGTTTGACAGGATCATAAAAGGAGGCATAAATTCACCACCACTGGCCAAAAAAAAAAAAAAGAAAAAAAAAAAAGGCAAAACAAAAATTCTTACACCCATAACCAAGCTGCTTTTACCATAATGGTAAAAAAAATCCCCAATCGGCTTTCAAGCGTATCTTTTCCATGAGAACCAACATTAGCAACAAGCTGGAACTGCTCCAGCAAACAGCCAATGCAACAAGTACCCAAGAAATACTCTTGCTATGCCTTCCCCAAAGGGACTACATTTCTGTTTGCCTGTCTCTTTCCCAGTCCTCCAACCCCCTCAAAATGTATTGAATTCATTATTTCATTCCATAAATATTAACTGAACACCTAATATGTACCAGGTATTACTATAAGTCAACAAAAAGATCTCTGGCCTCAAAGATCTTAGCAGGGAGAAATAGACAAGTAAGAAAATAAGTTATGTAACATGTTAGACTGGGGTACGTTTATGGGATCCAAGTTCCAAAACATGGCTTCCACCCCCAGATGACGACCTGCTTTCCCACAGGAGCTGGAACATTCATCTGCACATCCGGCACCTACTACATGTCTGGCATATGATGCAATCTCAATTTTAAAAAACCTTTTAATAAACAAATGAATGACCAAGCATTCTAAGAGTTTTCCAGCTCCCTATCTTAGAGGCAGAAGTCAGGAACGTTATTAGCAAAGTACTCATCTACGGTGACTGAATGAAGAAAAATATACATATATAAATTCTTGGAAGAAAATAATGTGGTTTTTAAAGTCATGTTTCCCCTTGATTACAGAGAAACAAGTAAGAAAGCAAGTTACTTAAGAGATTATTCATTTTAAACCAGAAATACTTAACCTACAGTCCACAGATTCAGGAATGCAGGTGAGCCCACTGAAATTGTGAAAAACAATTAAGGGGAAAGAAGGATTTATGTGCATTTATCTGGGTTACTAACAAAAGGGTTAATAACTTTTGTCAGCTTCTCAGTGGTCTGTGATCTCAAGAAGATTGAAAAGTACTGCCCTGAAGAATAAGTGTTTTTAAAAACTATATTTACATCCTTATAAAAATAAAGGTACACTTTTAGCTATGAGTCACCATCATCATTTTTCTTAATAAGTGGAAGCTTTACTTTGAGGGGGCTTGAGACAGCGGGAGAGAGGCAGGCCCTCAAAGTGGTCCTAATTGAGAACAGCACTCCAAGAGCATCCTGAAACCAATTTTTCCATATGTTCCCCCACAGATTATCTCACCCCTACTTATAAATGAAGCCCAGTTAAACTGAATAGACACCAGCTCCTTGCAACTCTGAATTCAAACACAAACTGGCATGGGCCAGCTCTAACATCAACAAATGCCATGCTCTCAGAATGCTTGGTCACTCATTTGTTTATTAAAATGAGAAATGTTTTAACTCTTATGAACAAAACCTTCTCAAATACTAATGAAAACTTCTTTCGTGTTCCAGACTGAAGTCCTCTCCTCAGTTCTTAAGAAGAGACGCTTCCTCCCTAGATCAGCAGATCTTCTTGCTGGCTACTTATCAGAATTCTTGGGAAGGCAAAAATTTAACAGAATACACACAGCTATGCAGCCACTTAAAAGAGTCCCTCAGGTGGATTTTCAGGGTTGAAAATTATTGCTCTAGATTGGGGGATCTGCAAGGCTTTTCTGTAAAGGACCAGACAGTACACAGTTTTGCCTTGCGGGCTATCTGGTCTCTTGTAACTACCAGACTCTTTTGTTGTATTGTAAGATTAGCCATAGACAATATGTAATCAAGGAGAAAATAACAGTAATTTGGGAAAGTGACCCCAAAGTGACAATCATGAACAGTACTTATTTCTAGTAGTTAATATGTCGAGTGGGTATGGTGGGAGGGAAGAGTATATTAAAGCAGTTTCTGCTCACCCCAACGTGGATCTCCTGAGTCAACCCCATCCACCACACCCCAGGAATATGTACCCTTCCCTGCTGCCCAGATGCAATGCCTAAGCCTATTTGAAGAGTTTACCCTTCCCCAACTTCTCCTCCTTTACGTGCCATTCACAACAGCTAGGTGTAACCAGAAAGATTCTTTGGAAGGCAGGCAACTTTCCCGGGTGCAGAGCAGGGGCTGGCCTTGCTGCCCCTCAACCCCTACTCTCAATGATGCTCATGGTCTTCTGGCCCCATCTCACATCCTTTCAACCTTATTTGCCTTATTTTCTCTTGTAAGTTGCAAAGCCCTAACTTCCTCAAGAGTACAGAGTTGTTGTGCCACATGGAATTTGAGTGAGAAATCCAAAGATGGGAATAAAAGCAACAAAAGTCCTAAACAGTTCACAATTGCCTTGATACTCACTTGCATCTGGATTAAATGCTTCCTCATTAAACCAGGGAGATAACAAAAGACCAGATAAATTTCACATTTATGGAACTCCATCAGAAGATAGAAGCTCAATGAGAACTTCTTAGAACCAAGTTCATCATAGTGAGAATAAAAGAATTTTTTTAAAACAGAGAGAGAGAAAAGGGAAATCTAAGAGGATCGTTGTGTAGTACATGGCGACAAGCTAAAAACAAAATCTCTTAAAGAAAAAAAGAAAAAAAAGAATTTTACCTTTTCATGGTTTTCAATTAAGATTTCCACAACAATATTCTGAAACTTCAAGTCCATGAGGGCAGCGACAGTTTCTTCCTGTGGCCTCATCAGAGTTGGTCCAAACACCACTCCTAAGTTTGCCACGGTCATCAGGTTCTGCTTGGAGTGATTTGAAACGCTGAAATTGGTAAGGGGGGAGGAATCTGTTTAACCAAAGGAGCAAAAATTGTGGACTGTAAATAGTCTGCAACTCTGTATTTCCTTAAAAGCAAGGGGTCAAGAGACTTAACTGTCCTCAACATCTACCTCTGAAATAACCAGATCTGAGAAACTCTCCATGCAGACGCTGCTGCCTACTCCTTTACTTCCCTTTCTTTGGTGCTCTACTCTAACCACAATGGCTTTCTTAATAATTCCATGTACAGTGGGCCCTCTGTATCCCCTGAGAATTGATGTCAGAACCCCTGCAGACACCAAAATCTGCAGATGTTCAAGTCCTACAGTCAACCCAGAAAACCCACGGATTAAAAAAAAAAAAAAAAAAAATCAACCCTCAAGTCCACAGGGAATACTGTATTTCTGATCAGCAGCTGGTTGAATCTGCCCATGCAGAACTCACAAAGGGCCAATTGTAGGTGCTAAGCTTGCTTCCCCCAAAAGCCTTAGTTTACTGTTCCCCTCTTCTTAGAAAACTCACTCTTTCCCCAGAATATTATACTTTTGCTTCCAAGGAATACTAGATTGCGTAGTCCCCTTGTAAAAGCATGCAAAGTTTGGTCAGAGCACCCACAATCACTCCTTCAGCCCAGTATCATTGTGCAGTCAGTCACCTAGACAACTGTTCTCAGCAGCCCTGCAACTTTATTCAGGTCTGAACTCAAAGATACCATCTTCAAAAAGCCTTTGCATAATAACAATTTTTATAGTCTCACACTCAATATATTCTGTCCCCTTACTCTGCTTCGTGTTTCTGCCACTTATCATCTGAAGCTATTTTATATTTTCATTTGTAATCTGGTTTTCATATTTTCCCCTTAGAAAGTAAGCTTCATGAAAGCTGGGACTTAGACTATCTTATTCAACTATGTATCCACCAGCACCTAAAAAAGGCATTCACTAAATATGTGTTGATCAAATGAATAAATGGCTAAACTAGCAGTGGGACCCTTGGCAAATCACAGTATCTTCTGACCTTCATTTTCTTTCTATGTAAAATAAAGGTTCTAAAATACAGCGTTCTTCAGCTTCCTTTCACCTCTAAAATTCTACAGTTAGAAAGATCTCTATACTTAAAGAAAGGGATAATTTCTCCCCTGATTTGATTTTGCTGACTTTTAAAAGGAGGAGGAAAAGAGAATGAAATCTATAAAATAACTACCCATTATTGAATTAAGCCAACTTAAAGGACATGTTCAAACTTAGAGTTAGGTAGGTGTGAAACCAAGCTATATATTCTAACAAATTTATATTCACATTTCCAGAATCTGTGTATAGGGTAATGTATAACATTCTCCTCTTTCACTTCAAATCAAACCCTGAGTTGCTGGCAGAGATGTTAAGCAAATAATTATACAACTTCATGAAAGCATATTTCAACAGTCTTGTCCAAAATACACACAATGAGTCAAACATCCAGCCTGCCCTTCCAGGTGTGGTCCCCAGTTCCACCCATCACAAATCCCAGAGCACGACCCAGCACCTAGAGCAAAGTGAAGAAAGTTAAAAGGAAGAAAAAGAGGCTTACTTTGTTAAGTGTTTCACCAAAATGTCCAACATCTCTTTATTCTTCTCTGGCAGTTTGTGTACCAAGAAATGGATCGCGTTAACCCGAGATTCCGGGCTGCCGCTTTCTTCCAAAAAAAAGAAAAAAAAAAAGAAAAAGTAAAAGAAAACAAGAGTTAGTAGAGAACTCAGAATCAAATATATTTCCCAAGCAAACAATGACAACAGCTCCTCTGTTCAAGATTATCAAACATGAAGCATTAAACATATTGTGCCATCTTTAAAAGGAAAAAAAAAAATCTTTCCCCTTATAATGAATCTTCTCGTGCCTCCCCTAATGAGCTAATGTCAATGTGGCTGCAATCGGTGCCTTCCCCTTGGTTTATATTACAGAATGGACAGCTGCTAAGCTTCTCCTTCCGACATGCTGCGTTTCATGTCTGTTCATCGTTTACTCGATGGGGTCTAGTCACTGGGTCACACCACAATGGAATACAAGTAAAATATCAGCAAATAACCTATTCCATGTTACAGGTTGAACTGGATTCCCCCGCCCCCAAAAAAAGTATGTTGAAGTTCCAGCCCTTAGAACTCAGAGTGTGGCTGTTTTAAACTGTACGTGGGATTTAATGTCATCAGGTATGCTAAGGCATGCATGAAAATGACTGTCAGGAAAAGTTTAGATTCACAGAGCCCTAGAAACAGACGGCATGGCATGTTGTGCAGAGCCATGTGGGGAAGCACCAACGTCGATCAAGAAGCAGAGGGAGAACGGGGAATGTGGGCAAAGCCTCTACTGTAGTTTCTGCAGGAAGGAATGGGCGAGGCAGGGTGCGCAGGTCGAGGACTGGCTGGTTTAAATTACTTCAGTGGGCACTGCGTTGCAAGGGCTGTCCCTAGTTGCTGGCACTCGGGACTGAAGTCATAAGGGCAGGAGAATACAGCCTAGTGTAAGGGCTCGCAGAGGAGGCTGGCGCGGAGGGGGGTCATGGGGTTTTGGATTGGATAATTCCACGTGAAAAGCCTGCAGAAGTTTAATATCTCCAGGAATTGGCTAGCCCTGGGAGGGGCAGCTTCCTCGGGTCAGTGAGGCCCCGGATGTCAAAACATCAGAATAAAAAGGCGTGCTTAATACACGACCTTATTTGGGAAGAGAGCTGTTGCAGATGTCAGTTCAGATGAGATCATAACTGAAGTAGGGTGGGGCCTCTTCATCCAATATGACTGGTGTCCTTATAAGAAAACAAAGAGAGGGATAGTGGCCATGTACAGACAGCACAGGGGACGTTGTCCTGCCACAGCAGAGGCAGAGGCAGAGGCTGGAATGAAGGACCCACAAGCCAAGGGATGCTAAAGACTGCCAGCAACCACCAGAAGTTATGAGTGGCAAGGAGGGATCCCTCCTACGGCGTTCAGAGGGAGCACGGCCCTCCCAACATCTTGATTTCAGACTTCCAGCCTCTAAGAATTGTGATGGAATAAATGCCGATTCTTTGAAGCCACTTGGTTAATAGTAGTACTTTGTTCCGACAGCCCTGGGAAACTAACCCATTCCCTTAACCCCCAAACTTTGGAATTATTATACGTGGCTCTTATTAACAGTGTACCCCAATTCCCTTTATTGTGTTATTGATTGGAAAACTATCAAATCAATAAAATGTTTGTTATTGAAGATTTTGCTAGTTTTCACAGGTGTCAAAGAAGCAACAAAAGAGAATTAGGTTCTAACTTTACTGCTGACAGAAAAGAAGGTTAGAAATGGCTTCGGAGGTTCACTTAGGGCTGGCCAGGGAAGCTCAGGAAGGGTCTCATAATGGACAGTCCTTGAAGTTTGGGTCCTGAAGAATGGGGAAGGGTTCAAGGAAAGGCAGGACTGAGAGGCAGGGGGAACATTCCAGAATCAGTAAATAGCATGACAAAAAGCACAGGGCCGGTGCGGAGACAGCTCTTACGAAAGGTAGCCTGAGGCCACCTCTGGTCTGCAAAGGCCAATATGAAGAAGTTGTCTCACTGTTGGCTTCTAAATTAGTCAAGTGAAAATAAAACAAGAAAGGGATATGAATAGAGTTAAATTTGGGGAAGATATGCCTCATATTTTTTTAAAGGATGGATTAGAATGGGAAAAAGAACTAGTTAGGAGGGAACAGTTATTTGGGAGACAAGAAATAAGAAATGAAAGGAGGGGTGGCCAGGCATGGTGGCTCATGCCTGTAATCCCAGCACTTTGGGAGGCCGAGGTGGGCAGATCACTTGAGGTCAGGAGTTCAAGACCAGCCTGGCCAACATGGTGAGACCATCTCTACTAAAAATACAAAAACTAGCCAGGTGTGGTGGCATGCACCTGTAATCCTAGCTACCCAGGAGACTGAGGTGGGAGAATTGCTTGAACCTAGGAGGCAGAGGTTGCAGCGCCACTGCACTCCAGCCTGGGTGATAGCCAGAGACTCCATCTCAAAATAAATAAATAAATAAATAAATAAAGGGAGTGAGGTAGGTGGTAGAACTACAAAGAGGGAGGTAGAACAAAGAAGTATAGATGCCCTATGATTTACAATGGGGGACATCCCAATAAGCCCATCGTAAAGTCAAAAGATTGTATGTCAGGACGTCACTACACCTGGGAATCGCTGCTTCTAACTGATAGCTGAGTGGTCTTGAACAAATTACCTAACTAACCTCTCTGTGCCTCAGTTCCCTCATGTGCAAAATGAAAACAGTATCTTAAGAGGCCATTATGAGATTCAATGCTATAACATACACAAAGCACTTAGCCTCCGTGGCTGGCACGTGTGGGCACTCAATCACTGTTAGCCATTATTACTATTGTTGTTCATGTTACTATTATTATTTGAGCACTACCATGGAAGAAGCAGAACTGACAGGTTTTAGCAGCAGACTAGCAGTGCGTCAGAAGGAAGAAGGCAGAGATGAGCAGTGTTTCACACCTGGGTTGTCTGGTAACAGGGCCAATTCCACCAACAGACAGAAACATAGCAGCCAAAGCTGTCTTGAGGAAGGAGATGATGGTGGAGGGAATGGAGAAAGTGACATTCAAATGGCTGGTCTCTAGCAGTAGATGGAAACAGTAGGAGGCTTTAGAGATCAAGGCTAGAAACGTTCTCCAGGAGGTGTGACCACTAGCTCATGGACAAAGCTACCCAACTTCTACAGAAAGCTAACTGAGGGCACTGCGGGAAAAAGGGCTCCAAAGAGGTACAGGGAGACGTGAAGTCAAGGGCTAACACAAGCAGGCAATGCAACCAAGGAGGAGGAGGAGGAGGAGGTGGGAGGATCAGGGAGCTTTGATGTCATCAGGAAGGCAACTGAGAAGAAACCTGCAAAGGCTGGGCACAGCCAGTGGACTCGAGAGTTAAGGAGAGGTCAAGGAATGGAAAGACTGGGAGAAGGGCCCTGGGTATCACCAGGTTTATTAACTGAGAGCCCCTTTCTACTAAAATGAGGGGGTTAAACAAAGAGGGAGCTGCTGGAGAAAGGGTGAAGAGTGGGAGTTCAGAACACTTGCTCAGAAAGTAAAAAACAAGAGAATGGGAAAGAGAGGTAAAGCAGATCAAGAAAGGGACATTTTTTTTTTCCAAAGGATAATAGTTTTTTTCCTTATGACAAAAATTAAATACTTGTAATACTAAAATCTTGGACAACACAGAGAAAATGACGTTAGTATAAAGTACTAAGTATCTGAAATATATATATATGAGAAACAGCATGCAATCAGATTAGAAAGAACTACAAACCAATCAGGGAAAAAAGAGACAATCTAACAGACAAATGGGCAAAAGACTGGGGCAGGAATTTCACAAAAGATTTATTCCTGTGACCAAAAAACCTATGAAAACAGAATAAACCTGTAACGGTGAAACAGAAATTAAAACCACAATGAAAGAGTAATATTCACCTGCCAGAATGGCTTTAAATGAATACTAAGCTTTGGCAAGGACATGAGGCAACTGAAACTTCCATATGCTAACTAGATGGGAGTCATTAAAGGGTTCAACCACTCTGGAGAACTGTTCGGCAGTTATCTACTAAAGCTGAACAAACACATACACTATGACCGACCCAAAAATTCCACTCATAGGTATATAACCAGGAAAAATGCACATAAACACGCATTAAAAGACACATACTCCTATATTCACAGCAGCGTTCTATTAGCCCAAAACTGGAAACCACCCAAATGTTCATTAACAGTAGAACAGATAAATCTATTGTGGCTTCTTCAAACAGAATGCAATGAAAACGAAGGAATATTTCACACAACATGGATGACTCTCACAAAATGAGTAAAAGAAACCAGCTACAGAAGAATATACTCTGATTCCATTTACATAAAGTTCAAATGCTGCAGCCCCAACCTAGAATGTCAGGAGAGTGATCACACTTCAAGGGAGTGGATAATGACCACATGGGCATGAGAAAGGGCTTCTGATGATGTTTGATTGCTTGATCTGGGGCTGATTATGCATGAAAATTCATTAAGCTGTATACTGATTTGAGCCTATGTTATATTTCAACAAAAAGTTCACTTAAAGCTATCCATAATAAATCTCATCCTAAAATAAACTGGTAAATTTTAAGTATAAATCCTGCAGAGTTTTCCTTCCTTTTTTTTGTAATGAAATGCCTAAACAACTTATTTTATTTTATTTAATATATCATGGACATTTTTCAGTATCATTAAATGGAGCACCTTACCATCGATTTTATGAACACTTAGATTGTTTCCAATGTTTGTAAAGATAAGGTTGTTCCAGTTTACACCCCTAACAAGTGTTTGAGAATGAGAAATGATACTTTACAATAGTTGTTGCTAAAGAGAAAGGATGCAAAAAGGCTAAGAAATTAAAAGGCACGTAAAGAACACAATCACCGAAAACAAAAACACAACTGTCTAAAAGATTAGGTAATAAATTATAACCCAGTTCTTAATCTGGTATAAAAACCAAGATATTAATCAACACTGGCAAAAATAAAAACAGTGTAACAATTTCAGTTCACAGCTTTGATTTTTAAAAATAGAATTAAAGCAGAGACTCTGCAAAATAGTCGAAATTCCAAAGGAATAAAAGGACAACCACTGAGGATAAGAATGTTACATTGCAAAAATTAAAAACTTTGGAAAACTTTGCACTAAAAACCTACTACTAACTTGTGAGTCTATCTTGCCATTAATAATGATCTTCTTCCAGTGACAACCTAGTTTAAATATTTTAGGATTCATTATTTAGAAACACAAGCTAGAGAAAGTTTCCCACACTCTATGAATTACATTCTTCATTTCTCAAAATAGTGAAATTGATTTTGAAAAATAGAGTCAAAACCTTTCACTATCTTCAGTGCCTCTCCTGCTAGCCCGTCCTCATCTATTTTTAAATCACACATCCATTCCTGCCAAGTCTTTTTCCTTCTTCTTCTTCTTCTTCAAAAAATATACTCTAGGCTTTTAAAATAAAACCATTTTTTTCTCTATTTTGTTTTGAAATTAATCAGAGCTTTCTATTAGCAAGTATTTCTATGTAGCTACAACATAATACCTTAAAGGTACTCCAAAAAAGTTTTTGAAGATAAGTCATCTAAAGTTGCTTATGCTAACACAATTTATTTTATTTTAATTGCTAGTGATTGACAAAGAATGAACAGCCAGCTTACCTTTATAAAAAAAAAAAAAAAAAAAACTAGAATACTAAATTAATCATAATACCAAATTCCTGAAATATGCCAGGGAATTAGGAGCTTACTGTAGTGGAAAAGGCATTTTAATTGTGTAACTACAAATCAGCATCTACCACACTGTAATGTCCATCTGCTTATGATGCTGTGCCAACTAACAGAAACTGAAAAAGATGTGATTGTAGAGCTTATCAAAGACACAAGGCAGATAAATGCTAAATTATTTCAATATTGAAATGTCAAAAGTCAATGATACTGTAATTTTAGAAAGGCATTAGCAGTAACCATCCAAGCACTTCCCAAGGGATAAAGGGCTTCAGTCAACAGACATCAAGTGTTGCATTTCTCCTGTGGCGTTTGCATCTACTGTGAAATGAATACATCAGGCTAAGAGCGAGGCATGCCACTAAGCATTCAGTTCCCTTAATTCCTGGGTTCCTGAGCCCTTCCCCAGCAAGAATCACATGATTTTTGTCTTGCTTCCCAGGTAGGTTTATCAAAAAAGATAGAACATTCTGGTTAGGCAAACACCAATGTCTTGGATCCGATTATAGTTATGCTTCTCATGATAAATAACCAAAGATCTTTGTGGTAATGATTTTGCTTCCCAAGTAACTTGATTACAGGAAGAAAGCACACAGAACATAGCAACATGAGTGTTTTGGTTTAAGTGACAGTGAAGAGTTTTTTCTTCTGATGCAACAGGCATTCAGCCTTTAGTTGTCATTCTCGTACTAAGCACCATGACTCCAACCCTGAGGCATGAGTCCACTCTTATCAACATGATACAGCAAGGACTTTGAGGCCAAAAGGCTGACACACAGATCATGGCTTACACAATGTTCTCAAAGGTAACACACATCACGCAGTAAGACATCCAGCTAGACGCCTGCCTGCTAGCCTTCCTGTAGTGGACACAATCTTTTGTATTCCTCATGGACCAGTTAACTGCCTTTTCATCTTACAAATTTCCATGTCCAAAGTCCATTATAGTCTCCCCCAAGATGGATCATCTACTAGGTTCCTTTTATAAGTTTAGTTTGGAATTCAGCTAATGGAGAAAGTTACATTAACTCTTAATTTTCTCAAAGAAAAAAATTTTTTAACTTTTCCAATGCAGTCAACCTTTGACAGAAGTAAGTTGCTTTTTTTTAGAACAAGGAACATAAAACAAATGTGCCTTTTGTGGTGACAAAATAGAAATGAAATTTATATTTGTATCATGAACCCTAGAAATTAACACGGAGGTTCACGACAGGAAACTACAGGAAAGAAACTGATGAGAGAAAATGATGGGACCAAGAGAAACCTTGAGAACTCTCAGCAGGGAGGGCAGAAGAGAAGAGACTATCTCATCGCCACAGAACAGATGGAAACCACTGCACATGACTGAGAAGAATCAAAAATTAGTTTTCAAGCTGGTGTGAGAGGTGGTAACAAAGACTGCTGATGCTTTGTAATTTTAGCAGTCAGTTCAGCTAACAGACACGAGCAAAAACAAGGTAAGCTGTCTCACTGTTCACAGAAAATTACAGCTTAACCACAATCCTGATTTTCCAACAGCATTCAAAAGGGGAGACGAATTTTGGCCACCTGATTTCTGTAACTATTTCATTTGATACTTAAAAGTCCATATGCAAAAGATCAGGAAGATCTGTTCCCACACTCTCTAAAAGAGGCAATGAGTGCAGAGAAGGGTACTCAAGAGATTAAAATAAAAACTTGAAGTCTACATTGGAAACGTTGGCCCCTAAAATACACCTATTTAATACATGTACTTTTTCTCATTAAATCAAGTTACTACAGGTCCCATTCCAACCATAACGGCACTTAGGTGCAAATCCATGGCAGTGATTACAGTAGAAACACTGACCGTCCTGTTATCCAAATCGCTGTGAAGACTATCGCAGCATTCCCACAAAGTCAGGAAGCAAAACACAAGGTACTGGTCCAACAGGTGATGATCTTGTCTGCATTTCTACAATCCTTTTCACCACTCTGCTCAAAGATGCCTTCAACAAACTCTTTAAACTTATTTTCTACCACCACAGATTTTATTACCTCATAAGATGTAAGCTCCTAGCTCTTAGGAACTTCTTCATTTGGTAAAACACACTGATATTCAAATTTCAAAAACACTGCCATCAGTAAAGGGGCATGATGATAATACTAATGATTGTGGTCATTTAAAACCGTATTCCATAATCACTTTATCTTTCTCTAATTCTCAAAGGATTCTAGATTAAAATTGGCACTCTTCTGCTGTTTCCAGTCTCCAAGGCAAACAACATGAAACAATTGTCCTCCAAGTAGGTTTAATTTCTCTTTCCCCAGTTTGCCAAAAATGCCACAGGGAAGAAATCAAAACAACTAAGCATTTACTTGAGTTTTTGCCGAGAAAATTTTCCCCCACTCCCTCGATCTCACAAATTCTCTTTTTAAAAAAATCCTCTCCCCATGTGAAAACAGAAGTGAATAGAACCCAGTTTTTGAAAAAGCCTGTTTTCTATGCAGAGTCTAATGGGGCCTACACACTACTTCTTCCTGCAACACAGAAGGAACCTTTACACTGGCTGGACCAGGGACCTCACAAGAAGGTAACATTTAAAGCAATGTTCAGGCAGCAGTAACATTGGTCCCAATGGGAATGCTCTAAGTTTTTGAACAGATTCAACTATGGAATACATCCAAGAGGAGAAAATAAAAGGAAATGAAAATACAATTACAGCTACTGTCAGTGCACCTGTGAAAACCAATACTGCAGGTTTTAACTCGTGGAACTAGGGTTCTGAATTTTAAATAAGGTTCCCTATAATCTGGCAAGTTACTTAACATGTATCAACCTTCATTTCCTTCACTATTAAATACCTAACACCAGTGTACTTCAGAAGACTATGATGATTAAACAACACGCGTCAAATATAAAAAGTGAGCCATATAACAGAAAACAAGAAAACCTCAAATGAGTATGACTCACAAAAAAATCAATCACAAAATTCCACCAACTATAGGCCTTTTTCATTTAACATTTGATTGCATACTAGTCACTCTGCATCAAATACTGTTTGGGGTTCTGGCATTATCTCGTAATATTCCTTCTGTCTGTAATTTAGATCTGAGTATCTCTCTATGTGAAGCCATCTCCAAACTACTAATCTTTCCAAATTTTCTCATCTCCCCAACCTTTCACAAGTTAAATACTTCTGTGTTCCCTCAGCATTTTGCTCATGCCATTATTGTACATTCTCTAGTATAATGAGGAGTAAGTAAGGCCCAGTACTTGCTATGGAATTGTCTCATGGAGACAAGAATCCTGTCTTGGCTTTACATATCCAGTAACATAGTAGGAAATAATTAATGCATGTGAACAAATGAATGAATATACTGTCCCTTTTAGTCACCTTCTAAGGATAGGGGGAGGGACCAAACATCATTTAAAGTGATTTCTATTTTTAACACAAATTGCAGTAACAACAAGTTGAATTTTTCATATGGAAATTTTTAGTTTATGCTCCCTACCAACTACAAAACTGTTCCTATGACCTTTACATAATACTTACTGGCTGGAACAATGAAATCTCCGTGTAACTCATAGGTCATGAGAGGCTCTGGAAGGCTCCTGTGTGAAAAGAACAGCTCAGAATTATCAAATAAATCCAAACAAGTCACTTTTGAGTTTTTTTATGAAAAGATGTCAAATTTCTTATGCATTTCTTAATTAATGTGTAAAACTTCCCTAGGGAATATCTTTACATATCAAAAAAGATACATAAATCGAACAGATCACTTTATCAACTGCTGTTGACACCAAGCACTAACAAAGCCTAAGCAGCCACAAATCCCTACTAGACCTAAGCATAGAGTATTTCATATCTAATCTCGGACAGTACCTTTGTGAACATCTGGTTTGATATATAAGACTTCCTTCTACACATTAATGTATTTAAAGCCAAACATACTTACTATCTAATCAAATGTAAGCAAACAATTTTGAAACATCATCCCTAAGATATTAGCTGAAGATTCCACAAAAAATACATAGAAAACATTAAACAAACTCAAATCCTCTCTGCTTAAATATATTACAAAAATAAGAATTTATCTTTATGCCTATGAGAGATGAAATAAAATTGATGACAACTTTAAAAATATACACAGCATTTTCATAGTCTACAAAACAAGTTACATAAGGTAGTTTATTTTATCCTGTGATCAACAGAATGCTACAGTTCAGTCCACCTTGCTACATATCTTAAAATTATAAAAGACCAGAGCAACTAGCTTTATACACACTTAAAGAATACCTAGACAAGTGTCAGTCTGTACAGCCTTTCTGGAGGGTAATCTCGCAAGATATTAAGAACTTTTAAGAGGTTACAATCCTGTAACTCAGACATTCTGCTTCAAATTTTTTTTAAAAATCAAAGATGCACAAACAAAATTTTTTAACATATGCAAAGCCAAGAATATTGCCAGGAATAAAGAAGGCCACTTCATATTGACAAAGTGTCAACTCGTCTTGAAGCCAAAACAATACTAAATGTTAACAGATCTAATAAGAGAGCCCCAAAACACTCAAAGGAAAAACTGACAGAACTACAAGGAGAAATGGGCAAATACACAACTATAATCAGAGATTTAAATACCTCTCTGTTTCAGTAACAAGTAGAAAAATCAGGATACAGAAGATTTGAACAAAAATATCAACCAACTTAATCCAATTGGCATGTCCTTCACCTAAATGACACTCCACTCAAAAGCAGAACACACATTCCCAGCACATACAGGCCATTTATTTTCCAAGATGAACCATATTCTGGGCCATGAAACAAATCTCAAAAATAAAAAGGGCTTAAGTCATACAGAGTTTCTTCTTTGATTACAACAAAAATTGAATTAAAAATCAGTTACAGAAAGATAGCTGGAAAACTCAAAAGAGAAGCTAGAAAGTATTCTGAAATGAATGCAATAAAAGCACAACATACCAGAATTTGAGGGATGTTGGTAAAGCAGTACTAAGAGGAAATTTTATGCTACTAAACACCTATATTAAAAAAGAAGAAGGGTGGTAAACCAAGGACTTCATTTTGTACCTTAATGAGCTATGAGGGAAAAAAAAAAGTGTAAATTAAGCCAAAGTAAGCAGAAGAAGAGAAATAAAAATCAAGCAGAAATCCATGAAATAGAAAACAGAAAAACAGAGAAAATAAATTAATCCAAAACCGTATCTTTAAGATAATTAGTAAAATTGATCAATCTAGCCAGAATGATTAGGAAATAAAAGAGAGAAAATAAACAATGCCAGCAATGAGAAAGGTGACTACAGAATCAGTGCAGATTCTGAAGTTATCAAAAATAAAATACTATGAACAATTTTACGCCCATAAATTCAACAATTCAGATGAAATGGACAAACGTCTTAAAAGACACAAGCCACCAAAGTTCACTCAAGAAGAAACAGATAACCTGAGTAGTCCTATTGAATTTGCAATTAAAAATATTGCCAGTTAGAAAACTAGGGCCAGATGATGTCACTGAATGAATTCTACCAAACAATTAAGAAAGAAAAACTACTGATTCTATACAAATTCTTCCATAAAATAGAAGAGGGAATAATTTCTAACTCATTCTGTGAGGTAAACTTTATCCTAATATCAAAGTTAAACACATTATGAGAAAGGCATTATGAGAAAACTACAGACCAATATCACTCATGAACATAGACGCAACTATTCTAAATAAAATGTTACTAAATCAAATTCCACAAGATAAATAAAATAATATATCACAAGTTGGGTTTATAACAGGAATATAATACTAGCATAATATCTAAAAATCAATATACTTCACCAAACAAAAAGAAAACTGTATGATCATATCAATAGACAATTTAGGAGAAATACCCTCTCCCACAAATTGTACTAGAACTACTGGAGATCCCCATGCAAAAATGAACTTGAATTCATACCTCATATCTTATGTAAAAATTAACTCAAAATGGATCATAGAACTAAGCGTAAAACCTAAAACTGTAAAACTTATAGAAGAAAACTTCTGTGACCTTGAATAAGTGCAAAGATTTCTTAATATAGCATCGAAAGCACAGTCCATAAAAAGAGAAAGTGATGAACTAGACTTCATCAAAATTAAAACTTCTCTTTGAAAGACACCTATTGAGAGAATGAAAAGAGAAATCACAGAATGAAGAAAATATTTGCAAAGCAGGTATCTAAGAAAGGACTTGTACTCAAAATATATTTTTTTAACTTTTAAAACACAATAATATTACAACCTAAGTTGTAAAAAATTGGGCAAAAGATATGCACAGACACTTCACCCAAGAAAATATATAAACGGAAAATAAGCACATAGAAAAAAAGTTCAACATTACTAGTTATTAGGGAAGTACAAACTAAAAGAACAATGAAATACTATCAAATACCTGTTAGGATGGCTAAAATGAAAAAGATTGACCAGCTTAAGAGTTGGCAAGAATGAAAAGGAAATGGAACTTTTGTACAGTGTTGGTGAGGATGTAAAGAAATACATCAACTTAGGAAGAAAGTTTGTTAGTTTCCCAAAAAGTTAAGCAGACACTTACCACATGATCTAAATATTCCACTCCTGGGATTTATCCAAGAGAAATGAAAGCCTATGTCCACTCAAACATAGGTATATGAATGCTTTTAGCAGCTTTATGTGCAATAGCCAAAAGTTACAAGCAAGTTAAATATCCTTCAACAGATGAACTGATTTTTTTAAATGCTGGTTTATCTATAAAATCATCCATTAGTTAGCAGTGAGATGGAATGAACTGGTGGTATATACTACAACATAGATGAATCTAATTATTCTAAGTGAAATAATACCGATTTCAAGTATACGCTGTATAATTCTATTTATATAAAATTACAGGAACTGTAAAGTAACGTATCAATAGATGAGGCTACTTCAGTGGGGTGAGAGATTTCAAACAGTAGGAGGAAACTTTTGGGGGTAATAATGCATAGGGTCACTATCTTGATTATGGTGATAAGTTTCAGAGGTACACATATATCAAACTTATATGCAACTTATTGTATGTCAACTATGTTTCAATAAAGCTGTCTTAAAAAAACAAATAAAAATAGGCCAAGCATGGTAGCTCACACCTGTAACCCCACTGCTTTGGGAGGCCAAGGCGGAAGGATCACTTGAGGACAGGAGTTCAAGACCAGCCTAGGCAACAAAGTGAGACTCTGTCTCTATTTTTTTTTTTTAATGTTTTGAAAAGAAAATTGAAAAATCAAAGAAAAAAATGTTTAGGTACATATATTCCTTACATACAATTTATAATGCTATAGTCACATACAAACACAAAATGACAACCAGAAACTAAAATTTAATGCACGAGTGAAAAAGTCCTGCTCTTATTTCCCCTCCCTCTCCTTTTCCCCTACACTCCCATTTCACCAAGAAAATGAAAAAAAAAAAAAAAAAAAAAACTATACCACAGGCTAAATAAGGAGAAAAAAGGGCCAATCCAAAGAAAGTCTTCAGGAGGTTTGTTTCAAAATATGGAAAAGCAGGAGGTAACAAAGAAGAAAAATGGTTATCTAGCAGAGAAGGAAAGTTAAAGAGTGCTGAAAAGAAAAGCGGGGTTGGTCGGGGGGATTGAGAACCCTTAGAAAAACATTTCTTTTCCGATAAAAATGAATTTGTATCTGAATATCTTCTACAAGTTACTTATATCATTGCCATATGTCTAGCTAAGCAATGCAGCGTAAGAAAATAAATATTGTTAACATTAGGGAAGCAGCCATAAAAACGACAAGTTCCCCATACAGAATGTATTATGCTGAGTCACTGCAACTCTCAGCCTCCCACCTGACATGTTTCTGAGCCACCTCTCTTTGCCACTCGTTGGGATCTGTTGGGGGATATAAATCATAATATTTACCTAAGCTGGCATTTCCCTCCCAAAAAGTCCCATTACAATTTCCAGGCTTAAAAGAAGTTTCCTCCAGGTAAAATCATTTGACTAGAAACATCACAAAACCACTCATTTGTCCCCTCACAACAGAAAACTGCTGTAACGAACATGTTTCTGAAAATCAAAATAATGGTCTGCATAGATAAGAAATCATTCAGAGGGCTGGTATTCAGCTCTCTAAAACATGAGAAGTAAAACAAAAAAAAACATTGCCTCAAGTCAGTAGAAGGAAAAGGGAGATGCGACACATCGGTCCACTGCACATACTTGTCCTTCTCCAAGACCCTGGAGGACCTGCTTCTTGTTTTAGTTTGGTGCTTTGGGGCTTTGGCTGTTTTCCTCCCTCCACCTCCACCATCCCATCCAATAAGATGGCTGGGTTATTTGCAGTGAGAAGAATTCAAGGGCAAGAGCTTTTTTGGGTGAGAAAAGCTATATTCAGCTTCACGCCATGGTGCCGTGAGTGACAGAGCTGGGGCTCCAACCCTGGCAGGCAGGCTGGCTCCAGACCTCCTGCTCTTGACCATCACACTGTATTACCTCTCATGCAGAAAGAAATACACTTGCTTGGGCCAGAACCCTGTTGCCAAAATGGAGGTAGATAAAAACTCAGTTTTATCCCATTTGATGCATCACCAAAATTTTTTTTTAAGTGTCAATTAAACCCTAATTACTGCATTTTCCATCGCTAAAAATAACATAGGGGAAAAGAACAGCAACCCAACTTTCAAATCTCCCAAGGCATCTGCCATCTTATGATAATTCACTTTATCACATTCAGGCAGAATGTGTATTTTGTTAGAAGTGAAGTTATATAATAATAACATCTCATAATGTCGTTCTGTAGGCAATGTTTGTTTAAAAGTGAAATTCCATAGGATGAAGCAAGGTAATAAAATAAAAAGGCAGAAAAAGCAACACAAGACCAGGGGCAATAAGGAACTAGCTTCTGAGAATATCAAGATCCAAAAAGAAATCCTATGTACTAAATAAAAAGAGCCTCTAGTTTATTAAACAAATTCCTCCCACACAGCAAAAGAAAAGAACCATATGGAATGGAGAAAAAAGAATGCAATTTATTGCCAAAAAGGTGGATTTCCAACCTTAGTTTTCCATCATCTCAGTCAATCCCTTTACCTGCACTGCTACGAGTCTACCAAACAGTAAAACGGATTTACAGCGATCTCCTAGAGTGGCAGTACTTCTTCTGGTCAAGTTAACATGTGCAATTCACTGTATGTTTATACCCCTTACCTACTCTTTCCTGCATCTAATACAGCTTTCTCAATCTCAGAAATATTGGCATTTTGAATCAAATAATTCTTTGTGGGGGGAGGGTAGGCTGTCCTACGTACTGCAGGATGTCAGATGCCACCAGATGCCAGGAGCACTGCAAACCAGCAATGGTGAAAATCAATAATGTCTCCAAACATGGCCAAACATCCCACTTGGGGGGCAAAATCATCCTCAGTTGACAACCACTGTTCTAATTTCTCAGCCACAGGTACAGCTCCAAGTTGCTGGGGATACTGCAGTGAACAAGACTTAAAAGATGCCTATCTTCAGGGAACTTAAATTCTTATCCTAGGGTTGGGAGTAACAAGATTCATTTTTACCATAATCCTCATCTAAACCACAGTTAGTCACTATCAGTGGCAATACTGATATAAGTATACATCCCTTTATCAATTAGGAGTAACAATAGTGCACATAATAGTTTAAGAAAAAATTTAGAACAGTGACTGAAAAAAATCTTCTTTACATAAAGCACTTGAAAATAGGTAATACATACCTATTACCGAAGGATAAATATTATATCATTAAAAAGTGGGACAACCATACAACAGAAAGAATATACCACCAATACAATGTATTCTTGAAATAAAAGAAAACCTGACTCTAACAAAGCCTATTTGAAAAATCTTTATCTACAGGACACAGGATGGCTAAAGAAACATGTTAAATGCTATCATGAAGACATAATCAAAACTGAACCAGGTTCATCAACAAATAAATGCCAGTGGTGGAGGAAGGGAGGAAATTCAGAGATTAAAAGAACCTTAAAACCTATCAACCAAGTGAAATGTTGGCACAGTTTAAATCCTGCAGGATTTAAACCAAATATAAAAAGGCTTTTTTGAAGACTGCTGGTAAAAATTGAACATAGACTGAATGCTGGATATTAATTTTGTTGTGCATAATATATTCTGATTGACTTTTAAAAAATGACTCTTTGAGGCCAGGTACGATGGCTCATGCCTGTAATCCCAGCACTTTGGGAGGCCGAGGCAGGCAGATCACGAGGTCAGGAGATCGAGACCATCCTGGTTAACACGGTGAAACCCTGTCTCTACTAAAAAAACATGAAAAAATTAGCCAGGCATGGTGGCAGGCGCCTGTAGTCCCAGCTATTCAGGAGGCTTAGGCAGGAGAATAGAGTGAACCCGGGAGGTGGAGCTTGCAGTGAGCTGAGACTGCGCCACTGCACTCCAGAGTAAGACTCCATCTCAAAAAAAAAGAGTTTTTGAGATACTCAAATATTTATGGGTACAGTAATACGATGTTTCAGAAAATCTTTAAAGTATTATCTATAAAAAGTGGCAGGTAGATCCCAGCACTTTGGGAGGCTGAGGTGGGTGGATCACCTGAGGTCAGGAGTTCGAGACCAGCCTGGCCAATATGGCAAACCCTGTCTCTACTAAAAATACAAAAAAATCAGCC